TCCCCTGTCCCCAACCTGCTTACAGGATTAAGGAGAAATGGAGCCACAGGGGAGTGAAAGCTTATCTATCACAGTTGCCTAACAATGAGACACTGCACTGTGGGATGAAGCCTCATCCAATTAGGTGTTGTTTTGAGAAAAATAAGTCAAATTCTTCAACAAATTCCCTTCTTCAGAACAAGAACTGGATTCTTGACTTTCAACTTTTCTCTCCTTCCATTTAATCCCAAATTAAGTCGGCACAACAAGAGGCAGAGCCTCTTATTTGCCTTGACCTTTTTCCTGATTAAGAGAGAAAGGAAATGCTACTGTCTTCACTAAGTACCACTCTACTATGGTGGCTCAAACCTGACGTGGAAAGGTAAAGGCACTTGGATATTAAATAGTAGAAACACGAACAAATAAAGAATTGAAAGCCAAAGATCACTCGAAGTGCATTTGTATATGAATGACATCCCAGAAGACGCTGTGCAAAATCAAGAGTTCAGTGGATGCTGTCCTCTTAAAGAACTTCTTTCCACCACAAGTCATACAGAAACCAATACTGGTTTTCTCATCTCCCCTGAGACTACTGAAGTGAAAAATAGTAAAACTACAATCCTGAGGGAAAAAAACTTTTAGTGCCTGAAGCTCTAGGAAGTTCACTAAGAATTTTCAAAATCTTCCTGTGAGGGAAGCAGTTAGAAAGTGGTAATGGAAGCGAGAGCAGACCATTAGTGGTGTGATAACTAAAAGAAGTGAGCAAAGTGCCAGTTTTTTGTACCAGTTGATTTGTGGGCCTTATCAGAGAAGCCTTCTATAGATCCTTACTCCAGTTTTCATTCTTCTATTTATTTGAGGTATGGATTATTGCACCAGGTGACTTGCAGTCTGAAGCAGATTGAGTCTAAGGAGTTTGGATACAGTTGGAGATTTGTTTTTCCAACAACTCTTACAAACAGAACTGCATTTCAGAGAGAATTTTAATAAGCTACCCTGAGACAAATAAAATATAGGAAAAAGGAGATACATATATAGGAGAAATCTAAAAAGCAGCAGGCAAAAATGAAGGTCAGATTGAACACACAATATCTGAAAGTAAGAAGAGAAAAAAACCCACATGATGGAACTACTGTGTTTTAGAAAAAAGCTGGGGGGGAGAAGAACGTACACCAAAAGCCTCCCTCAACCAACACAATAAATGATGAACCAAGACAGCTGTAACAGTCCAAAAAGCTAATGGACCGATGAAGCTAAATATATTTCTGTTTTATTCAAAGGCAATGTTACAACAGCATTAGCAAACCTGTTCCTGTAGGGGGCCTGAGAAGTAGAATTCCTTGTCAGTTACCTGAACCGAACAATGTGCGTGTTACTGCTGTGTTTTCAGAGAGTATTCCTTAAAATAAATTTGACACCATTATGGTAACTCTTCAACACAGTCTTTGATACATTACAGCCTGTGTGTTATACTTTTTAAATGTAAAGCTACTTCCTATGTTAGCACTCAGAAGTATCACGTTAGTGTTTAGAGATTTCTGCATACCTTTGTTTTCCTTTCTCATCCATATTTTGATCTTGTATAAGGTCTCGACGTGTTCGCTCTTTGGAGGTAGCAACAACAGAAGATGGCAACGCTGGCTGCAATAAAGAAAAGCAAACTACTTTGTTCATCACGTTGCAGGTAAGTTTCTTCCTGCACAGCTCCTCTTATCATGTATTACCTTTTTAATATCATCATCCTCTGCGTCGCTTTCTTGGCGTGATTCTCTTCTTGTCCGACGTTCTCCACCCAGCCTGAGGAGGAAAAAGTGTGAGTGGTCATTAGAGAACAATGTCATTTAGGAGAGCATCTCTTCTAACAGGAGAAACATACAAGTCAGAAGAACCAACACTTCCAGGAAAAATCTCCCCACTCTTCCAACAACCAGTACATAACATTTTACAGACAAATTCTACTATGGGTAAAAATCACTGAGACAAAATAGTTCAAATTTTAACACAACTTGCACAGTAAAGCAAAACACAAGACTCCACAACACCACCATATCTGAGATGGTAGAATACATTTGGAATTTATTTCTTGTTTTAAATGTTAGCACTTTGCTTTTTGCTGACCCTCTAAAATGGCTACTGGTATAAAGGGATCACTAGACAGATTGAAATGCATTGAGGTAGAAAGGTTGGTATGATTTCTCAAATGGGAAATGCTATTTAAGTTACCTAGCCAAATACTTAAAAAACGAGTGAAGAGGGGCAGAAGGATTAGCATCTGAGAACATGAATGAACTAAGGTTTGAACAAAAAACAACCTAAAAAAAAATAATTAAATAAAATAAAAATTTAAATAAATAATTTAAATAGAAGTTATTTGGCTTTATGGCACAAAGCCAAATTTAATTTTTGTGGCACAGCACTTTCCTGTTTCCCAGTGTTCACTTTCCATTAACTCAAAAATTCCAAAGCAAGCCTTGCTTTAGCCAAGAACTACCACTGCACGGTAAGTGCCCACAGCACTTAAGCTCACTGTTATCAGTCACATCTGATGGATTTGCATCCAGATGTGAAAACTCAAAATTTGAGTCCATTGTCAGACTGCCTGCATTCAATTTATTGAAGAGATTTCAATTATAATTCAAGTTATGTTTACTGTAAACAAACATGGCTACTAAGCAGAACTAATACAGCAAATTGTACATCCAGTAAAACAGAAAATTCCACGTGTCCTTGTATTGCTATATCATTATATTAGTGCTACCATCTCTATATTGCTCTAAGGTATGAAAAAGATTTCATCATTTTGCTATCATGCAAATTAATTCCAACAAGTCTTGAATACGTAATCTCCAAAGAAGACAGTGAAAGTCATCAGTTATTAACAGTTATTGATTTACTGTTACAAATTCTCATTCTGAAAAGCAAGTTCTCTGCATCAGTTTTTGTACCCACCTACTGGATGCACCTTCAAGATCCCTCTGTTTGGCTGGGGGTCCTCCTCCACTATCAGAGAATCCACGCCTAAAAAGAAAACATTTGTGATCTCAGAACAGGTTAGGTTAACCCTAGAACCACCTTAAGGCTGCACAATTCAACTGTATTTTGGCTTTGTGGTCATGATGTAAACAAATGTTTTGCTCAGTTATATCACTGTTTACTATTGCTACTGCAAAAAACTGCTTGTGGACCAAGCTGTTCCAACATACTGCTTGTGAACCTTGAATTTCTGCACTTAACTGAGTAACTACAGTCAAACAAGGACCCCATTATGCTCAAATGATCATATTTGCAATCGTATTCAAAACGTATTAAGCCTAAACCAGTGGCTTAATACTGAACTTCAATGAAAAATCCAATACATGCTCCATTAAGAATTGCCGAACAAAAATTGTTCTTTTCATTCTACTTGGTGGAGCGGGGAGAGAAAAAGAGAAAAAAGAAAGAAAAAGCCACAATGAAAGACTAGTGATTTTATCTAAACGTATTTTAAAATTCTTGCCCACTTCAACTCTTCCCATTCCTCCTGGAGCACCTACCAGTTTCTTAATTACCAAGAGATTGATCCTGACGGATTTCAAAGAGACAACATCCCAGACACAACATAACTCCTCCCTTGAAATGTGATGTTCCCTCCCCCCTTACATTTAACAGCTGAAAGGGTTGAGGAAGGCCACCAGTTTAAACTTGTTGTAACTCAAAACGAAAAGGCGCTTTAAATTTAAACACCGAAGTCCTGTCGGGCAGCTCTGGTGCTCACTGAAACAGCAGTACAGAGAGGAGCGGGGGCAAACGAGAAACACGCAACATCAAAGGGAAAGGGCAGCACCGCCAGGGAACGGGTGGGGGGAACCCGACTCCCCGTTCTGCGCCTCCTTACCTTAGCAATAAGCTCCCGCGTCCTCTACCTCCACCGGGGCCTGTGAGGGCTAACAACCTGTTCTGGGGGGGCCTGCAAGAGACGGCGGCCGCTGTTAGTGATGCCCGCCCGGCCCGACGTGTCCTCGGCCGTGCCCTCTCGCCGCGGGCAGAGCTGCCGCCACGCCCAGTCCACAGAGGGCGCGGGGCCCGCGGGCAGCTCCGCGCCGCCCGCGCCTCGGGCCCGCCGCGCACCCCCCGCCCGGCCCTTCTTCCCTCCGCGAGCCACCGGCGCGCCCGGCGCTTCTCGCCTCACCTCACATCATTGGGGTCCCGGCCCGTGAGCTTGCGAATATTCTCGTCCACGTGCTTGAGGCTCTCCTTGGCTTTCTCCAGCTGCTCCTGCAGCGCGCGCACCGCCACAGCCATCCCGCCCGCCGCGCGGCCTGGCCGGGCCCCGCGCGAGGCACCGCTGGGAAAGGAAGGGAGGGGAACGGGCCCCGCCCACTCCGCGGCCGCGGGCCAGGCCGGCACAGCCAATCGCGACTCGGCGGCGCCCTCTGAGCACCAATCATCGGGCACGAGCGGAAAGGACACCCCCAGCGGTACAGGATCTCCATAGGCGCTCACCAATCACAGGACCCAGAGGCTGACTGGCACCCCAGCCGCCCAACTAGAGGAAGGCTTGCGTGCCAGCTCCGCGAATCAGTGAAAGGGGCAGTCGGACTGACACACACAGCGCCAATGAGAACTGAGGGCGTCGTTTTCCTGTAGCCCGGTCAGAAAATCACTTCGCGGACGCTCGTTCCCGCCCACCCGGGACACGTCCTGCCTTCCCTCTCTCAATGGGGCTGACCAGCCGGCACGCGCGCGGCTCGGGGGGGGCCAATCATCGCTGCCCTATCAAAGGCCGCCGTGCGCGGCGAGCCAATAGGCGGGGCCGTTTCTGAGGCCTGGCTGAGGCTGAGGTCGCGCCTGCCCTCAACTCCCGCCCGCGGGAGAGGCCCGGCCCGGCTCGGCCTGCGGTGGGGAAACTCCGAACTGGGCGTTATTCCTGGCGCCCGGGGCGGTGGCCAGGCTGTAAACCGCGCTGTTCCCCGGCAGCAGCCGGCGCCGCTGCCGGTTCTCCGCGGCGGGCAGACGAAGGCACGGGCTCTGTCCCGGAGGCAGTGATACACACCCGCCCCGCCCGCTGTCAGCAGTAGGGCGGGCGGGAAAAGCTCCGCAGAAGGAGGCGCATTTACCTCCGGTCCTGGGCCTAGCGCTGCCTGAGCCCGCGGGCTCTGCAGACCCATAACGCGACAGCCCCTTTCCCAGCGCTTCCCCGGCGGGGAGAACCGGCTCGGCCGCGCTGCTTGGCCCCCCCGCCTCGGCCGGGAGTTCCTGCGGTGTCCGAGCCCGCCCGAAAGGGGCGGAGGTCCCGCACCGGCGATGGCGGACGAGGCGCTGTTCCTGCTGCTGCACAGCGAGATGGTGGCGGGGCTGTACCGCGCCGCCGAGCAGGGCGAAGGGGTGAGTGGGGCTGGGGCCGTGCCAGGGCCGCCCGGCAGCCGCCGGGGCTGACGCGGTGGCGGCGCGTTGTGTCTTGCAGGAGAATGGGCGCTGCACCACCAAGCTGGAGAGCATGGGCTTCCGCGTCGGACAGGGGCTCATCGAGAGGTGAGTCCCTCCGGCCCCCGGCATCTTCTGTTTTGGAACCCATTCTCATGGGCGCCTGTGTTTGAGTGTCACAGGACAGTTTTGGAGTATGCATTTGCCTGATGCTTCCAGTCATGAAAACTGAGTCAGGGTATACGGTTACTTTTAATACTTATAATCATCTTTAGTTTCACTTTGTGTAGACTTTTGCATGTTTCCTAGTTCTGGTACGTTTCATGATCTTATTATCTTTCTGATTTACTTCTTAAACGTAATTTTATGTTTGGCTGCTACTCTGTTTCGTTTCTCCAAAGCGCTCCCAGTCCTTGTAACTTGGCTACCGAGTTCGTTTCCGCCTTGTTTGCTCGGGCCCTTTGGGGACCCGAGGTACAACCTCAGCGCCCTCGTTCCAGGGTCGTGTGGAGACTCTTGGTCTTCTGAAGTGATGCTTTCATTCAACAAAGTGATGCTGTTGTGCCAGATAAAGACCCTCAAGGATGATAAAGGGAGAGAAAACCGAAATAAGCAAGAGAGAGATCTCCCTTTTTGAAAAACAGGAACAAGTTTTACGTGTTTGTTCCTATGTGTTAGAGCTCTTTTGCATATTTGAAGGATTCCTTCCAAGCAGTAGTATAGGTATGAGTGTTTTATCTTCTATGTACACATTTAATCGAAGATAAAACTGATGGAGTGCTTTGCATCTTTGTGTATGTCAATCATCTTTAGTAATCATGGAATTAAAATAATTTATTCTACTATCATGTTGCAGATATTAAGATAACACTGTGTTGCTCTTAAGTTAAAATACTTGATGAATGCAGAGTGATGCTAGAATGATGCTGTACAATGGTTGGAAAACTAATTTCTGTAACAGCCTCAAAAATAATGTTGCATAGTACCATTTTTAAAAATTTATTTTTCTGTTTAATTAGTGATGTGTGTACCATCATTATTGATACATGTCTCACTTATTTCTTAGGTTTACAAAAGATACTGCCAGGTTCAAGGATGAATTAGATATTATGAAGTTCATTTGCAAAGATTTTTGGACAACTGTATTCAAAAAACAAATAGATAACCTAAGGACTAATCATCAGGTACTAGTGCTGTAGAATAAGATTTAACTTACAAAATCAATATGACTTTTGAGTTGCTATTTCATTTTTGTTTTTCTTGGTCTGGAATGAATTACCTGATGAGAAACCCAAAATGCTCTTATTTGTTTTGTTTAAAAAGCAGGGTTTTGTAATATTCATGTAGCTTCAGAATACAATGTAATGATTGCTAGTGATGTCTTTATTGCCACTGGATTTGAAAAGACTCAGTGCTTTGAATTTCATATGCACTGTTGCAGAGTTACATAGAGGGCGGGAGTGGTTACAGTTGATTAACATTTAAACAAGAACATTTTTATGTATCTCTAAATGTTAGTAGAAAACTAGTGAAAAAGTGATGTTGCTGTCTTAACATCTTTTTAAATAGAATGGCTGCCTTGAAGTAATTTTTTTATTTTGAAGAATATTTACAGTTTTCAGCAGTTGAGACAGCTCACTCTAGTGAACATACTTGTGTAAGAAACAGCTGAAAAAATTCTCAAATTTGCATGTTGGTGACATTGTGCTGTATCCATGTCCTTGCCTATATCAACAGCTACAGTTCTTAAAGCAAGATCAAAATAATTTAAGGAGCCATTTTACTAGAGTAAAAAAGCTTTTTCCTATTGAAGACTTGGTTATCTTTTGACCATTTTCCTTTTGTGTCCAATTAGTAAGAAGAAGATTTGTACAAAGATTGTGCCAAATAAAGTAGGTTTTTATTTTTCAGTGATTTGTTTATGAAGTAATAACTCTAACAGATAATAATTACCTTAGAAATCTGGTTTTTTTAATTCAAAGAAAGCTGCAGTATTGAGCTTAAGATCTTAATTGTATATACAACCTTCATTTAAGTTCAAGGGTTATGAAATTCCAAAGTAGCACAGTCATTAACAAAGAAATTAAAATGACAGGTGTAGATAAAGCTATACTATGTTCAGAATTTATTTATTTATTATTATATTTACTTATATTTTTATTATACTAATTTATTATTGTTACACAAAATTGTAATGTAGAAAACACCAGACCTTTAATTCTATTGTTTGCTAGGTGTGTTACCTGTACTGCTGTTAAGGAAGATAATTCCCACTGAATTTGAGAATAAGAATAGTGAATTGCATACCAGATGAAGATTGAGATTTGAATGTAAAAACCAGTATGCATTTGATATATGGCTAAAGACTTTCTGGTATGGAACTACTGTTTCTGAGCACCAGAAGGACTTTTCCAAGAAGAAATGTACATAAACGTTTTTTAGAGATCATATTATTATCTAGGAGTTTTGTTGTAAACTCATAATTAAGTACCTTTTGGTTTGATATTCCTTGCAAGTATATAATACAATTTGAACTTAAATCACATATGCCTTAATCTAAAATTTCATTTTTCAGCCTAAGAATAAAGATAAATGAAGACGATAAACAACATATATTTACAAATCAAATGTATTCACATAAAATGTTGATTCTAAGGTACTGCACATTCAACTAAAAAAAACCAACTTTTTTTTTTCTTTTTTAAACAGGGTATTTATGTCCTCCAAGACAATAAATTTCGTCTCTTGACACAAATGTCTGCAGGAAAGCAGTATTTAGAACATGCACCGAAGGTACCCTTCAATTTTATATGCGGGGTCTGCCGGTTTGATTTGAATTTCCTTGATCTATTAATAGTAACTTTACATTTTGTAATTGAATGGATACGAACTCTTCAAAAGGGCAGCTAAAGATAAGTTTTCAGAGCCTGTGTACTTTTTGGAAACGCACCCTGTTTTGGAACAGTGGATTTGATTTATGGTGCAAGAAACACTCATGGTTGTTGAGAAACTTGCTGCTGTTATGTTTCAGTTATGTTGATGGTGGAAGCTTATCCGCCACTATCTGCTGCAGTCACACAAATTCTCTTTGGAAAGCATGTGCTTTCAGAAGCTTTTTTAAAACTTACAAAACACATTTGGAAGATACTATTTGTTACTGAGAACAAGCTTCTGAGATGAGCTGATAGGAATGTTCAGAAAGATCTTCCACCAGTTAAGAACAGTTCTGAGTGCAGATGCTGAGTTAGGGTAATAGTTCATGTAAGTAAAATCAATGCCTCTGCAGAACCTATTATAGAGGACTTTGGTTCAGGTGGATGTAAGAAATAGAACATTCAGTTCCATTTTATGGTTTCTTAATTCTTCATCATCTTATTGCTGGCTACTGTCCTTGGGATTTTTTTTTTAGTGTTTGGTGAGATGTTTCTTCTGTTTTGCAACATATATTTTAAGTATCTGCTGGCCTTTGTATTCTGCAATGTGGCCTGTGCCAAAATGCTGTCTTGCACTGTTCCTCCTTAATTGACTTTAATGCCACTTGCTAATTTCAACCAAGTCTTAGGAATACTGTTCTAAGGATATTAAATTCCTAAAGGTTTAATGGAATTAGAAACATGTAACTCAGAATAGTGCCTCTAACAAGAGCAACCTGTGTTGTGAGCTCTGCTCTACCAAATACTGGAGCTTTTGTCCATTAGAGACCTGACAAGGTCTCTCAAGCACCACACAAAACTTCCATAGCTTTCTATTGTCCAAGCATTAAGTCTTGTGCTTGAATACTTAGTTTCAATCTTTATCAATAAGCTTCAGCCTTTACCGTTATTTAAAGAGCAACTTTGTACTTAGTATTTAGCTTTTACCTGTGGACTAATCAGAGGAGGCCTATCGAATTTGGGAATAAAGAGTATTGTAACAGCTGAAGTTTCATCAATGCCTGCATGTAAGTAGTTCTTGGAGTATTCAATTACTAGTTCACTTTATAACTTTCCTGGCTGATTTCATCACTGTATAAGCATTTATCAAGGTGGGATTAGTTTGAAGCTGCTGGGCTTTAGAAATCCATATGAACTTCAGGATATGGCTTTCCACTAAATGCTTTGGTATTTAGAAAATACTGACAGAGGATAAACCTCCATCATGTTGAGTGGAAAGCAAAACTAAAAAGTTGTATTTGCATTTGAAAGGATCAAATGCATAAGGATGTATGTCCAGAAAGCTATTTGAATAAGTGAAGATATTTCTCTACAGGAGCCATTAAGAAAGTTAGTAAGTCGAGTCCATTGTAACTACTGCTCGATTAAAAATTTTCCACAGACTTTGCACAAATTCTAAATTTGGCTGACCTAACTTCTGTGATGTGAGAATGGATCAACTTACAGGGAAGAAGAAAAGAAAAAAAAAGCTCTTCAGCTGGAGTTAAAATTTAAATGCTAAATTTAAATAATGGCACAATTGCTTACAATTGAACTGTAAGATTGGGATGTTCCTTACTATTTCTTTAAAAAAATTAATACAAGAAAATAGTTACTTGGAGAAATAACGCTAATGGTAATAATGTGATCTGACTTTGCTTTTTTTGCAGGTAAATTTCAGGTGATGATACAGAAGATGTAGAGCACATTCAATTCAGTATCTTGGCTCAGTCTTGTATATAACTTGTAAATTATAGCAGTATGCAGCACAATTCCAAAATATGTAATAAATATTCATTGAAATAATTTAACACTATCCTTGTGTCTTGGTATGAAATTTATTGTATTCCAAGGTATTAATGTCCATAGGGTAAAAGCTGTGTACTCAGAAGTTTTCAGCAAAATATTTCAATTACCAAGAGAGTACATCTGGAAGACCAGAGGCACTGTTTGAGAACAGAGTAAAAGCCTGATCAAGATGAAATTGGAATAAGAAATAAATGTGTGTTGTGTCACCTAATGTGAACACCCAACTGCTGTTTTTCCCTGTTCAGTCTGAACTGTGAGGCAGCAGAGATTGCCTTTGTATTTCTCTTATGGAGCCATTAGCACGTGTAGGAATGGGGCATGTGGCATGTAGGTATAATGCAGTAGAAACAAGAACTTACTTCTGCATAGTTAAACAGTTTCTCCTACCTCCTTAAAATTAGCACCTTTTTCTTGTGTCAGATTGATTTTTTACACCTAAGGTTATCTGTACTGGCCAAGAAGGAAATTTGTTCTAGCTTGTTGTACATAAACTTGATATTAATGTACTTGCTTTTAATTGCTAACTACAGATCACTTCTGTAATGAGTGTGTGCAGGAAGATGATTAGGCCTGAAAGAAGCTATAAAGACAATCACCGCTAGATACTTGTTACAAGATTTGCATAACAATACATATTTTGCTGTAGGTAAGCATGAAAATATCTTGTTAAAACTTCTAATGAATTTTGCTGTAAGACTTTTCTGTTGGCAGGTTCAGGCCTTATACTTACTTTCAAATGCATCACAATAGAAACAGTGTTTATTCAGAAGCATGAGAATGCCTTGTGATAGTGATTCAGTTTCTGGTTTTGAGACCAGTAAATAACAGGCTAATTAGAAGAGCTCACATATTAAAATGACACCTTTGATACACAACTACCTTCCGTGTTGGGAGAAGTGTATGTTGTACAGTTGTATGGTGGGCAAGAACAGTGGAAACTCTTCTTTCATAAGTTCTAGGAAAGGTCTGAAGCTTATAATGGATCAAGCCTTTTCTAGAAAGCTGTCACAAGCTGGCAAGCTAGAGACTATAACTATGATAACCAGGGGTTTATTATACTTGAGCTTAAGATGTGACCAAGTTCTGATATTTTCAGGTACTGTGAATGATAGTTCAGATCAACTGTAGCTGAATAACTTAACAGTTCTTGGAAACAAAGAGAGCAGAAACTGAACCAGCAGAAGCTGTCCCACTTTTTATAGAACTAGCAGAGGTGAAAGTAATTACGGTAGTATGGTACTCAGTGGGGATTTGCAGTTTGATCGAAAACACTGGGTTCTTATACTGGTAGTTTACAGGAAGGAGGTGGTGGTTGTTGACCTTTATAACTCAGATTTGTTTGGAGTTGTAGGAGTGGAGAGTTAGCTAACTCGTATTCTTGCATTACCCAGGTTATTCAGTTGCCAACTCATTCTGCTTTCAACATGCTGAAAATGTTACTATAAAGAGATTAGAAATAATTTGTGCTATGTGCCTAATAGATGGACATTTCAATGTCATCATGTTTAGGCATCTGCAGTGGGGATTACTGTGGCATCATCATGGACAGAATCTGCTACTTGCACCTCCAGAATCTCTTACTTGCATCTCCAGAAATAACACTCTGGTAGTTACTGCAACTAATTTTGATTTTTCAATGACAGTTAAGACTACCATTCCAGATGCAAAAATGCCAATCATTCAAAGCCATTTTAACAATGTATCAATAACTGGTTATGGCTAATGATTATTTTTAATAGTGAGGGGAGGGACTTAATTTCCACAATACACAGGAAGCACATGTCATTTAATACTCTATATCAATTGGCTGCTACGAGCTGAATTCATAGTTCCTTTAAAATGGATTTTTAATTGCTGAAGACAATTATAATCAGAGGGAGTTATGTACATACCAAGCAGATGCTGATCCTCTTGGCAAAGCACTCCACGTTAAATATATATGTAAATAAGTGAGCTAATGTATTTGTCAAGATGACCATACAGAAAATAAATTCTGTTAATAAATGCTTCTATTAAAAGCATTGAATACAGATGTGTAATTTTCACTGGTTTCTGCAACTGCTTACTAAAAATAGTATTACTACTCATGAAGTAATAATATTTACATTTTACTAGAACAATTGTTTCAGTAACCTAGTGGATATAGTTGAACTGCTTAGCAGTGCTTAAGCTCAGGCACCAAAACTTGAAAAAGTACCTTAAACCCTAGCTGTGTAAGTTTCTATAGTAAGGCTGCTGTTAAATAGTATAGACTGAGAAAAACCACAGTGTTTACGAACACTCCATAAAATCCTTTAATTTTATTAAAAAAAGTCCTCAATAGGTCTGTTAGAAAAAGAACAATCATTTGTAATGTAACCTCAGACTTTACCTAATAGCAGTGTTCACAGGATTACTCAAATGGTAGAAATTTCTAACCAAGAATGTAGTTTACAAAGACAGGAGCTTGAGAGATGATGCCAGACAGTTCATTTACCATTTTACGATGATGGTGATGATGGTATTGGAGACGTCGACAATTTCATGCTAAAGTTCAGCTTAAGGTACTCATAGCTGTCCCAAATACATTAGGGTATTCTGAAGGGATTGTATGGTACTTCGGGTCTGAACAGTGCAGTGTCTTGCTGTTAACTCTGATAATGCTGTTTGTACTCATCATCATGGCTAGGCTTCGAAAATACTGGATATTCTCAAAATGGCCTAGGAAGGCTCATCAGCCAGGTCACGTTGATCGAAGTACCTAGTGGAATAAAGTGGAATATGGTAAAACACCTCTAATGCAATGTACTCCATACTTTGAGTTCTTAGATCCCTTGCTTTTTAGCTCTTCTTTTAGTGTTTCTATCATAATTACAGCTTTGTGGTTCAGGTGGCTCATCTGAGGAAAGGAATAAGCTTACTTTATTCTTAGGTTTATCTTAAGTCCTTTTAGCTAAGTATATTTGCTATATCATTTTTAAAAGAATATAGGTTAGGACAAGTAATCACACATTTATGCTGGAAATAGGTGTATTTATGCTGGACATACATTACTGTTTTAGGTGTATAAGTTGCATTACCTGCTAACTAAGCATATTATCAAGTTCAGAGCTGATATTTGTTCTTCATTCTTGTTCTCCTGAAAAAGAGGTAAATATTAGAATAGTTCTTTTGTTATTTGTGTCAAATAGAAAAGCTGTTACATGCCATGTTTTATGTATTTGTAGTCTTCCCGTCATTCTCAAGCAAACTTAGGACATGAAAAGTTAATTATTAAGACTTCAAGAATTGAAAAATAATCCTCTTAATCTGCTAAATTCACCAAGTCCTTTGCACAATGTTATATTAAATCTTACCTCCATTACCCTGACTTCTGAACATCGTCTTGCCAGCTGTCGAATAAGGGAGTGAGCTTCAGGTAGCAAAGGTTTTTCTAGGCATGCCAACAGTGCATAAAGCCATCTACCCTGTGAGGATTCAAATAACAAAGTTTTAATTATAAGCATTTCCTTGAAGATTCAAGCTGTTATTGTTATACAGAGTAGGACTGGAGTGTAAGTCTCAAAACAAAATTGCATTTAAGTGCTACATGCTGTAATTGAATTTTGAAAGCCAAATTAGACACTACGCGGTAGAGTTTTGTGCCTCTAGATAAGATTGTGAGGAGTACTCCTGGGTTTCCTGGTATTTTTTGAATGCTGGCCAAAATACAAATTAATACAGCTTACAGTATTACCATCTGAGGGAAGGATTATTTTAGTAATATCTAAAGAGTATTAGTTGGCTATTATTTTTTAACTTCACAATCTGCAGAAAAACATTCCTGAAGAGTGAATCTGTTAAGTCAGATCTTTGTGGAATTAGTGGTTAGATCTGCTTGAAGATTTCTACCACTGTGAAAACACGTCCTTTGCATTTTACTTCATAGAATTCTACTGCATTCTTACAAACATAATTTCTGCTACCAGTCTAACTTTTCCATTTAATTACAGTGTCTAGTGGCCTTCATTGTAGGACTAAAGTAAAAGTCAATGTGCACACTCTCTGCAACACATTGCTTAAAAAGAAACAAGTGCTACAGAAAAGGACAGAATGTGAAAGGCTTTTTAGTGACTCAAAAATAGTGAAACTGTGTTTAGTATCATGTAAGTAATTTTTCATGACTCTCTTGCTTTGTGGTACTGAAGGAGATGAGATGCATTCACCAAGGTGTTCTGTAGATACGGTGCCATTACACAGCTGATCAGTCTAGGTGTGGCCAAAGTCTGTGCCAATGTACCCCGTCCATCAGGATTTCTTAGGTTTGGTTTATCACCACACTAATGCAGCTAAGCTTTCTGGTGTGTGCTGCACATGAAAAGATTAAATGTGTTTTTGCCAGCACACTGTCATGCACCTCCAACCTAAAATGGAGGTGTTGGTAAATACAGTGTGGGGCACTCTGGCAGCTTAAACTGATCAGAACCAAAGCTGCTGCTCTCTGACCCTCTGCTCTCCCCAACATTGATAATCGTCAAGCCTTATGGCTTAAGTTAGTTTGGGGAGTGATAAAAAGGGGAGGGGTTTTGGTAATACTTGTTAGGTCTGCATCTGGTATGTTTTGTAATCAGCCTTCCAGCAAGTTCTGTGAATACTTATTTTAATATCTAACCAAGAAAGCTTTGAAAGTAACAATATGACACATCCATCTAAAAAACTCTTTAGAAATCAAAATAATTTAACAGAAAACTATAAACAATTTATGCTTCGTTTAATGCATTCAAGTGCAAGTAGTTAAATTAAAAATTACCAGTTCTGGAGTAAATTTTTTCTCTCCAAACCAGCTTATCAGGTATTCTAAGACACTGGTTACTGTTGCCTTCAAAAGAGGAACAGAAAGAGACAATACTTGAAATGTTTAGTTTTGTTGTCCTTCTATCTGAAGGATTTTATTATAAAATATTTCTACTCCACTGTGATACTACATGGTATTTATTCCATGTTGAAGTTACATATAAGGGTAAAGTAAGTGTGTTAAGCACCACTTCC